CGCATGAATTGTCGTCACGTTGAGGTGTCCGCTGACCAGTAAAATACTGTATGGTGCCCTAAAAAACGTATTTCCGCGTTGTCAATAAAGAGTTACTTCTTTGAAGTTCGCCGCGCTTCCTAATCAGCTCCCTCTACTAACTATGCTCAAACCACCTACTTAAAAAGATTGTTATCAAATATTTAGTTGAGTACCGGCACTCAACTAAATATTTGATTAGGCTGCTCAAACCACCTACTTAAAAAGATCGTTATCAAATATTTAGTTGAGTGCCGGCACTCAACTAAATATTTGATAAGGCTGCTCAAACCACCTACTTAAAAAGATCGTTAGTCAACTAGTGTATTATCTACCTGACGAGAGAGGACTTTTAACCCTTTCGGAACAGATCTGTAGTACCAAGTTTTAATTTTTATTTTCCTAAATAATCGTTTACAAAGCTCCATATGATTGTAGAGCACTCTCCGATTCAAGGATAAGGTTTTTTACATTTTTACATTAGGTACAAGTTATATACACCACACCAGAATATGCATCACATTTGATAAAAATACTTAGAAGTGAAAAAGTCTTCGGTGCGCTTCGTTCTACAGGTAGTAACGTTTCTGTAAAAGTACAGCTGGTCTGATTTGTGCCGGAGGGTGTAGGGACAGGTATCGTCTAAGCATGTTGGTAGAAGAGGATGAAAAGGGTTGTTTAAGTCCTTCGTTTTGCAAATTTTTTGATCCGAATACTTGAAACAATATTGAAAGAAAGGCGTGAACGTTTTGAGACCTTGACCACAAACATCCGTCTTTTAAGTGGATGGCTTTCAAAGACAAAGGCTGGGCGCGTTTCGTAGAAGCTCTGCTTTTTATTTTTCCTCCTTCCGAATAACCAATTGTCCAAATATCGCGTGATATTTGTACCCGATTCTTGCGTTGATTGTACTCTAATTAGTGCAGCTGGATAAAAATCTTAATGAATATGACTTTGAAACTGCATCATGCAGGCAATTTTAGGCAAACTGAGACACAAAATACTACCAGCCATTTCTTTTATTTTGAAAATAAAGCTCTTCAGAACCATACAAACATACAAATACCTATACACTTTGTTCGCTGTTCATCTCGTTTAGCTATCAATCTCTATCTACTTTCTTTTGAAAATATTCAAATTAGCTATAGACTATTACACAACGAAGAAATCTCAGTCGTTACAAGTAGCGTTGTTCTGCAGGTTCCCTTTGCTGCACAGCTCGATCATTTTGCATCAGGAAGTGAAGGATCATCAACAGGAGAATGTAAACGAATAGACTGAAATAGTCGTGAATGGTAAACATGATGTGGATAAAGCTTCAAGAACGGGCCAACAGACGTGGGCAGGAAAACCGTGGTAAGTTTTCCAACAGAACCGAAATCAGGTATCCGGAAACAATGGGCTATTTTTAGCGATATTTGTCATCACAATGTGCTCACCCAGCCAGAAAATAATGTTGGTCACATAGTGGCCCAATTCATAAATGTATATGTATATCTTTTGAGACGTTTTGGTATGTAGTATTGCAACTTTTTACGGGTTGTACCGTGTTTGACCAGTCCGTGAGGAGAGCCGAAAACAAATTACTGCATTAATTCATGTGCATTTATTATAAGGCGAAAAAAGCTGCTAAGCAACGAACGTGGAATCATTGCAAGAATAGCCGGCCGTTCGAGCAGATTTTTTCACGGTACTGAAAATAACCAACTGTCCAAATACATATATCTTATAAAGCTTTTTAACTCTTTGCAGCGGCCAATTTACAATTTCAAATCACCTTGTTACCCCCACCGACGCAGCACCCAAGTTTCTTTAGAAACTTATCCTCTTTATTCATTTATCTTATAAAACGTTTTGCTGAGTAGTATAGCTGATTATTATCCAACTACTCTAACTACACTTAGACGAGTACAAATAACGCCATAGACGAGTACAAATATCACGCGGTATTTGTACTCGTCTACTGTAGAGTACCGGTTAAACAGGTTTTCTCG